TGTGATTCTTTTGAGGCTATATATTTGCTTGCTCGGAGGTGTACATAGTGGTGGTTGCAGTTTTTTGTACCGTTCATGTGTGCTCCAGGACATTGCATCCTGGGGCACGGGACATTTTTATAGCTCACTGTATTTGCCATAGAATATGTACTGTTAATGATTTTTTTCTTGTTTAGTTTGTAATCACCTTGCTTTGACAGGAGGTGAAAGAGTCGTTCGATTTTTGGGGTACTCCAGAAGGTGATTTGGTCCATCCTGCTGATTGCATGCACCATTTACTAGAGCAAGTTCGGCGTCATAAAGTCAACATTGATGGCAATGTCTGCACTGTGATGGTTACGACTATGGTTGTTGAGGTAGTTTCTTAATCTCTTCTTTCAAGCTATGCCAGCTGAAGTATGATACACCCATATCATGGAGTCATAGACTGACTGAGAAGAATATTTGTGACACGTCTTACTGTCCCTCCTCGTGGCCAACACCAGTGTCCACTAATGTTGAGTATTTAGTGGAATAACTATAACTTGTCCTCTGTATATTCCTGAGTTATTTCACCTGGATCCTTCTTTTCACCCTTCCTTATACTTGCTGACACGGCATGGCTGGACATGTTTATATGTAGACAACAGCCGAAGAAAATGGTGGAAAATTAGTTGAATGCATGCAAATTCTACAAATGCACATGCACCAACTGTACAAGTCTCTGACAATTCCTTGTCCTTTTTTGTCCCTTCTTTTTGTCATTTTTGAAGAAGTTTTAAAAAATTATTAACAATAAGCTCCAGATGTTTGTGTTTTTATTTCTTTTCTGCTTCTGCTGTGTGGTGTTTGTGTTTTTGTTATTTTCTGTATTTTGGGTTTTGGAAGAGAGAGGTGGGGGGGGGGGGGGGGGAGTGCTCAGAGTGGCTTTCCAAGTCACTTGCATAGGTGGGAACTCCAATAAATTTGACTGAAATGGTTTGACAATGCTGAAACACGATCTGCAGAGAGGTGGATGTTTGAAAAAGATATGGACAAAGCGATGTGAAAGATGTTTAGTTGTGTGTGGGGCGATAGGATCTATATCATTGACCCTGAAACTCTTTGAATACCATGAAAACTTGGATGATGTAACATAATTTTTTTTTTAGATTGCCATCCTAATCTTTTCGATGTAGGCTGAAGTGGGTTTTTCCTTTCCTTGGTGGAGAAAATATGAAGATAAGAACGAAGATATCTGTAGAAAGAAGAGAATTAATGTAATGAAGATGAAGAAAAACACGAATACCAATGCTATACCTGCTTAAGTGTGTCGCAACAGCATTGTCATTAAACCACTTCTATTAGTGACTACATATCCTGTTTCTTGACAAAATTACATTACATGCTTCTCAACATTTTTTTTGGTGTTCCTGCTCTTAATAATGCTGGTTATATGTTTGTAGGGTTGGCAGCGGAGGCTTGATCCAGATTTTGACATAATGCATACCCTACGGACATTCTTACTCAAAGCTGACTGGGCAAAATCACTTTCCTACACGATTGAAGGGCTCATGGCGCCATGAGAAAGTACTTGACCGTTGTTGCTAATGCAATACAATTTTTGACAATATAGAGCACTCAAGAAAAGACATTGTCTTAGGTATATTTTTGAACCTTTTTAAGTGGCTCTTAGATGTTTCTTGTCACAAAGTTTTGTTAAAGCGGAAGTTTTGCACTGTGATTAATTATATCCCACTTGGTAATACTGTTCACTCAAGCCTCAGAACTAACAGGCTAATACAGGAAAGAATGGAGCAACTGAGACGTTACATTCTTTGATTCAGTCTTGCTTTTGCCCCGGTACATTTCGATTTCTTTTTTTTTTTTTTTTTCTCTGTGCTAATGTATGATAAGATTGCATAGAATTTATTCAGGTCATCGTCCTGGCATTATAATCCTGACCTAAATGGTGAAGCTCCAGGTGTTAAATCTCTTTTGGGGAAGGTGTTGTTATAGTCATACATGGCAAGGAAGCTAGAAAAGGATGATTTCAGTTGTATCAGAGTGTTTAATTGCGAGTATAACCCTGGGTTTTGCTTGATTTGTTCATGACAGGTTTAGTAAATGAGTTGGAGTCCTCTCTCTCTCTCTATATATATATATGTGTGTGTGTGTGTGTGATATCGGCGGGGGGATTGAACTGTAGGATGTTTCCTTTTGAATAATTTATGAGTAATACTATTTGTACTTAAAAATCTGATTTAATTTATCGACATAATGATGCGGTTTCAGTAAAATCATTGAATTAATATTAAGTTTTAATGTTTAATGGGCTCTACAGTCAATTCAAAGGTCATAGTAAATTATGTCAGCAAATTAGGTCAGTAACTTAAATCTTAATAATATTGCTCATAATATATATCTACATTCATTCTGAATTATTTGATATTGAGTTGATCAATTAAAATTATAAGATGCCTTCCTTGGCCTTAGAGTAGGGTGTTAATCGAACCAAGTTTTGTAAGTTTGAGTTGACAAGTTACAAGTTTTAAAAAAATGTTAAAGTTTAGTTTGTTTAAAAAATAAGGTAAGCCCAAGCCCAGGCCGAACATGAGCTAAATTCGAGTAGTTTAGAGTATTTTATATATAAATGAGCTGAGTTTAGTGAGTTTTAGACGAATCTTTTTAAATTTATTTTTTTAAATGATTTTAAAAAATTAATCAAATTTAGCTTATTTAGAACACAATTTAAAGTCAAATCGAGTCGAGTCCTATGTGAACTGAGTTTGAATAACTTATCTCGATTAACACTAGGCTCGAGCTCGGTTCAACCTCATGTCAAGCTGAGCTTGAACAGAAATTTGGGCTCGATGATCGAGCTTGAACAGGTCTTAAAAAATTTGAGCCAAGTCTGAGCATACCAAAATTTGGAAGGCTCCATTCGATTAACACCATTCTTTTAGAACAGTGAAGTAATTGTGGGCTTTGTTTCAAGCTGTCCCAAGCTTTTGGTGGAATGTTGGGCTTAGACTACGAAATACCCCCCTCTCTGCTTGTTTACTTTGGGCCCAGTTTCAACAGAGCCTACCATGGTCCAGCCTCTTCATAGATATTGCGCCAAACATCAGGCAGAACACAAATTACGGTAAGCTCAGAATCCAACACACGAGACTCTCATAATTCAGGATCTGATGAAAGTTCGATATACACAATTTCTCGTGCTTTAATCGTTTGACATTTGGGTTTCAAAGAAAAAAAAATTATATGATCTCTGAGCTAAAATTGCAACTCTTCCACTAGACAACCCCCTAAAGGACAACTTAAAGTCACAGGGGCAGTCGGATGAGAAAAGTCTATAAAGTTATTATCTTGAGATTTTAAGTTTTGAGTCTCAAAAAAATATTTTGATTAAAACGATTGAATTGGTTTAATCGGTGACACATGGTTTCCAAATTCATGAAACAATCACGAGTTCAAAGGGCATATAAACTAATGTATGTTTGCAGCAAATGTTGGCAACTCAAATTTGGATTTTTTTTGTTTCATGAGATTTTTGGGTTTTGTTTTATCCCCAATTTGATTGTTTAAGCAGTTTTTATATGTTTAATTGGATTTTAGAGATGAGTAAAATGGGACTGGATTTGCTGGAGGAAGATGAAGTAAAGAAAGAGGGGTATTAATGTTATTTTAATCATACCGTTAACAGCATTAACAAAGAGTTTTAATCTTCAAACCACATGAGGTTTATGTGGCTATTTCTAGGTATGAAGTGGTAATGTGCATAATGAGGGGTACACCATTTCTTTTAGGTTTATTACTCTATGCTGGCTTTGGCCAAGTTCCTAGGGTAGAGCTCCCAAAATTGTAGTTGTGCTCATCGTTCGCAAGGGTCATTAGCCACTATCAAACTGACTTTATTGTAGATGAAAGATTGAAAGAGATACACCCGTACCCTACCATGTAAGATAGGATATTATTGGATATCGAGTTGGGTCATGGACCTAAATTGGGGTGCCCACAGTAGGTTGTAAGTGCTTTAATGCCTAGCAAAATCCAAAATCCTGGCATTATGGTTGTGTCTCTTTGAATTCCTCATGCCCTGGCATTACAAAATCCTGTGCATCCCACTTGACCTGCTTTCAAATGTCAACTATATGTATTTTACTCCAAAAATATGCATCAAAACAATGTGTAGCTGTACCTTGTATTTTAAGCTCTGATACAATTGTCTCTTGGATGTTTTATCCATTTCTGAATAGAGATTCTGTATGGCAACTGGTAGTGTTTCTTTTGGTTGTACCTGGTAAATTCATCAAAGGAGAAAGCCCATCTTTATTTTGATTTGTATTTTCTGGTAGTATCATTTGTTGTGCTCCCCAGATACCACCCCCATCTTCACTATGCAATTATCGAGGAATTTAGATATAAAAGTGCCATCCTGGAAACTTTTAATTTAATTTGTCAATGGGGACTTTAATAACAAATTCAGGAACTATCAGAGAAAAAGGAGAAGAGGAATCCTATATATTCATTTGACATTTTGCAAGATGGCGATGGGCGTATCTATTAGCCACCATACATTCACTCTAACAAAGAATAATTATATGACCCAGTCTGCGTGTGAATTGTGCTTGTGCTCATTAAACACTTGAGACCCAACAACGTTTTTGCTTCACCTTGGTAGAAGGAGATCAGAGGAAGGTATGGAAATCCCAATTCCTCAGCACTGGAAGCATCTGTGGGAGACATGGGATCTCCGGTGCTTCATTCTCTTAAGCCTCTCACTGCAGACCTTTTTAATTTTGTTTGCCCCCTGGAGAAAGCGAACGGCCAGCGGTTGGTTAATCATGCCTCTTTGGTCAGCATACTTGCTCGCCGATTGGGCTGCTGCCTTTGCAGTGGGACTCATCTCCAGCAGCCAAGGCAAATCAACTGGTTCTGATGATAACAATACTGACCTTCTGGCATTTTGGGCTCCTTTTCTTCTGGTGCACCTTGGTGGCCCTGATAGTATAACTGCTTTTGCTTTGGAGGATAATGAGCTGTGGCTGAGGCATCTGCTTGGGCTATTAGTACAGTGCCTTGCCGCTGTCTATGTTTTCTTTCAATCACTTCCCGAAAACAAGCTATGGATCCCAACAACTCTCATGCTTTTTGCTGGAGTCATCAAATATGCTGAGCGGACGCGGTCACTATATCTCGCAAGCATGGATAGCTTCCGAGACTCCATGAATACAGAGCCTAACCCTGGGCCTAACTATGCCAAGCTCATGGATGAATACTCCTCCAAGAAAGAGGCAAGGCTACCAACACGGATAGAAATGCTTCCAGAACCTGATAGAGAAACCAAAGCTGTCAATAAAGTCAAAGAAGGTCCATTGACAGATTTGGAGATGGTGCACCATGCTTACCGATTTTTCGAAACTTTCAAGGGGCTAATTGTTGATCTCATATTCAGCTTCCGTGAGCGCAATCAAAGCCGGGAGTTCTTCCTCGAGAGATCAGCAAAAGATGCTTTTAAAGTGGTAGAGGTTGAACTCAATTTCATCTATGAAGTCCTCTACACCAAGGTCAGTGTGGTGCATAGTACATTAGGATTCATTTGTCGGTTATTTTCATTCGGTTCAGTTGCTTCAGCCCTTGCACTCTTCTTTTACGAGAAGAAGCACACTTTCAAACAGGCTGATATTGGGATTACTTACACCCTGCTACTTGGTGCCATTGCCTTAGATGCCATTGCTCTCCTCATGTTTCTAATCTCCGATAGGACTTTTGTTGCACTATATAAATTACTTGAAACTAATACTGGCAAAAACCCAATAAAATATCTTCTCGGCTGTTTTGGTTGGTTATTGCAATTCAAGAGACGCAGGTGGTCTGAGTCTATTTCAACTTACAACTTGATATATTACTGTTTGCATCCACGCCGGGAAGTGAAAGACAAATTGGTTGGCTATTTGGGCCTTAGCAACTTTCTTGATGGGTTGAAGTATGTGGGAAGCAAGTCATTTAATGATGAATTAAGAGAACACATCTTCAGTGAGTTGTTAGCAAAATCTGAGATAGCAGATGATTTAGAAACTGCTAAGGAGATATGTTCATCCAGAGGTGATTGGATTCTTCGAGTTGAAAATCGGGTAAAAATTGCAACCGCTTCCTCCCTTGGATCCTTGACGTTGACTACGATGAGAGCCTTCTTTTGTGGCACATCGCCACCGAACTCTGCTATAGAGAGGGTCCAAACAAGGATCGAAACGAGGTTCCAAACAAGGATGGAAACGAGGAACAAAAGAAGGATTTTCGTGAAATTTCCAAGCTCCTCTCAGATTACATGATGTATCTTCTAGTTATGCAGCCTACAATGATGTCTGCAGTGGCAGGTATTGGGCAAATAAGATTCCGAGATACCTGTGCTGAGGCCAAGAAGTTCTTTGGAACAGGAAACTCCAGAGGGAGACAGAATGAAGCAAATATCTGTGAACTTATCGTTTACGTAATTTTAAGTTTTTTCAAATATCTTCTTCTATTTTTCATTCTTCCTCCCATTCTATTTTTCGATGCTGTTGAGAAACCCTTTCGTGGAGCAAAAGCAGAACAGGGACAAGGACTGCTTTTAGCCTACCCATGTTATCTCCGAGTCATGAAATTCTTTGGAAAAGAGAAATTAGATTGGGTTGAACAACAGAAAGATGCCTGCCGAAAGATCCTTGCTGTTAATACAGAAGTAAAACCTGTTACTGTTAAGGGGGATAGAAGCAAATCTGTGTTGTTCGACGCGTGCCTCCTGGCCAAAGAATTGAAGGAGTTAGAAGGGAAAGATGGTGAACCCGACAAATGGGAAATAATGAGCAAAGTTTGGGTGGAATTGCTGTCTTATGCTGCCTGTCATTGCAGAGCAAATGCGCACGCTGCACAACTGAGCAGTGGTGGACAGCTTATCAGTGTGGTGTGGTTATTGATGGCTCATCTTGGCTTGGGTGATCAGTTCCAAATAAATGAAGGCAATGCTAGGGCTAAACTAATTGTGGAGAAGTAGCTGGAACAATAGTATGTTGTACTAATGTATTTGCACTGTTCTTTTGTTGTAGTCTGTCTTTAGACAGTTCGGTTGAGTCCTATTTTCTATCGTTTCAATAAGATGTACTGTTCTGTTGTTGAAATCCCTTTTTTCTAAGGCTGCATTGGTTCAAAACTTTAGTTAGCTTGTCCCCTTCTAGTGGGAAACTTTTGTAGTTTGTTCCTGAAAGTCGTATGTGGAGTAGCTCGAGTCACATAGCATTGTAATTAATCATCCTTATGAGGCATTACAAGACACTGTTCATCCTCATAACCTGATCTAACAGAAACCAAAAGGGAGGAAAAGAAAAATCAACTGTGATGACTGCAGCATATTAAGTAGGATAAGAGCTTTCAAGCCCTGGATTGTCAAAATGGTTGAAGTGTCTTTAATCCTTATAACTTCCACCTGTTTCATTGTTTTAGGAATTTTTTTTTCTTCACCACAAGGTTGGTGGTCTAGTGGCTTGTAATGCCCCATTTAGAGTTCTTTCTAACTCCCATGAGATTAGCAAGTAGTGTTCGATTAACGACAACTCTGTGGTGCAGGATAAGGCCATGGCTCAAGCTGGCCTTTGTGAGCGTTTGTGGTTTTCTGCCGTCTAGGCTCCACTGATAGGTTTTCTTTGTGGGGTCTGGTTGTTATGGTCATGCTCAAGCAAGTGGACGAATTCAAATGTGATGTAGGGAAGGCATTATCTAAGGAACCAGTCATTCTTACCAAAAAAAAAGAACCAATCATGTGTTTCTTCATTTAATAAGAAGCATATTTAATTTCAAGAAGTTAAACATGACAAAAGATTTAAACTATATCCATTATAGAATAATAATAATAACAATGACTTGATATTAACTCACAGAGTTCTGACAAAATAAAATTCCAGCTTGCTATATATTTTTTAATGAAGCTGCGGACTAGTTGGCAGTGTTTACATACACAATATAGCTCGTTTTCCTTGGCCCAATTTTTTATGATTAATCTCTTTCCCACGTGCATAACATTGGGGACACAAAGCTTAATCTGTGATGCAAGTTTAAATAATAACAAAATGGTTCAACAACCCCCATGTGTAGTTTAATTGGTAACAGAGACGAATTGTAAATTCAAATATTCTATATATGAATATTAGCAATCTCTTAGAACCAGACTATGAGAGATTTATTTCTCATGAATACCCTAATCTAAGTGTGGATGAATTGCTTTTAACTAGATTTGGGAGAAGATTAGTCGATGTGTACATATGTTGGTCTAGACACCCCTTACTATTGGAATAAAAAAAAAATAACAACAAAAAAAATGGGAAATAACTAATTCTTTCATGTTCGAGAATCTATCTCTTTAAGATTAAGAATGTTTATCTCTTACTAATTTAGATCCCATCTAATATTTTTTCCTCTCATTTTTATCCTTGATACAGCACCCACCATACATTCATGAGGAGACTTGCTTATCTATAATGAGTCATATTTAAATTAACTGTGTATGATCTATAGTGAGAGAGGATCTCACTTGGTCACTTACCTATCCTAGATCCTGTTATTTGATTCAATAATTTTAGGTTTTGAAACCCAATATAACAGAGGTTATTGGTTGACCTAATAACCACGGGTGGGGCAATTTCTATTCCACAAATCTCTATTTACACCCCCATTTACTTTTACATTATTATACAATTAAGCACACCTTTTTTATACTTACCTTATTAGTAACTAAATCCACTTTATGCTACAAACATCTCATTAATAGTTAAACCCACATATTTTATGTATACCCTTATAATGAAAGAAGTCATTGTAAAAAAAAAATAATGAAGAAATACAATTAGTTTGAATGCATAAATATATTTACAAAGCAAAAAAAATAAATAAATAAGTAAAATTGAAATAAGAAAAAAAAAACAACCAAAAATGAAATAAGGAAAAAAATACAAGAAAAAAAAGAGAAAAGAACGAAACAAGAAAAAATCAAAAAAAAAAGAAGGAAAAAAAAAACTAAGCAAAGATTAAAGGAATAAACAAAACTAAAAAATGCAAAATCACAAAACAAAAAATCGAACATGAAAAAAAAAAAAGTATCAAGTGCAGACACAAAATCGAACAAGAAAAAAAAAGGTAGCATAGATACAAAATTTAAACAAGATAAAAACAAATAATCTGAAAGCATACATATATAAATTTTAAATAAAAAATTATTAAACTTGACAAAGATATTAAAACATACCAAAAATAATTAAAATTTATAAAATAAATATAAAATAAAATAAAGACTTAATTTGAGAAGGAATACTAACTTGTATCTCACTGAAAAAATTCATGAGATAAGATAAATGATGAAATCATAATTATTACAAAATATAAAATAAATTTATTTATTAAACGAGGTGTATGTAACATAAAATAGATTTAATTATTTAGTAATGCTACAATGACCAAATTTTGAGATCAAATTTAGAGTCCAAATGACATAGTAATTGATTTGAACTTCTTTATTTGGTGTCATGTCATTTAGGCCCCAATAAAAACTCTAAATAATATATTGTCATATCATTTGAGCTCTAAATTTAGTCAATATATCATTATTGTTAATTATTAGTATGATAGTTATAGAAAAAATAAATTTAATAATTTAATAATAAAAAAATTAAATAAAATGGGAATAGCCGCCACCCAATAACCACCGGCACCACTGTTAAACCTTAAGGCCTTAAATTCAAACTTCATCGTTATCCATACACGTGATAAAACTGCAACTTACTTATATTTATGGGAAGTCGGGATGAAGAGAGCAATTCGATCATGTGACATCACAGTTGTGGGGTCGTGTATGACATCAATGAAGTCTAGAGAAATGATGTCATCCAGAAAAGTACAAAATAGTTGATAAAGACTCTCATATTAAAGAAACCCTACACAAAACAATGGGTCCGTTACCCACCCCACTTGAACCCAAAGAAATTAAATAATTCATGCATTCCGCCGGACGTACCTAAAGATAATACAGTCTTTCCGGCTTACCCATTGTGTCCAAATAGTCAGTGGACAATTGACACATCAACAACATTGTTTACTCATTGGATCTCAATTGGAGATGGTTTAATAGATCCCAAGTTAGGTATTTTTTTTTTTATTGAAAAAAACATAGAATAATGAACCAATTGTTCTTCTACAAAAACACAATTTCACATCTACCAAGTCAGATGTTAGTGAAATATGTCTTTGGGTTCAAGTGGGGTGGGTGGGTTTACAAATATTCACACTGACACGACAATTAAAATATGATAGAGAAGTGTGAAGACAATGAATTACATTCGGAAAAATGACATATGGATAGTGAATGGCTCAAAAGTATCAAGCCAGCTGGGTTATGATTCTGAATATAATTCTATAAAAGAGGTGAAAATGATTGAAGCTAATGAGCAAAACCTAGATAATACCCAAATACAAATCAATGTTGAAGTAAGGATACCAGAAGGGCTTTCTCCTATCATGAATTTACCTTTGTACAACCAAAAGAAATATTTACCACAGAAAACCCTCTTCTAAATGGATGAAATAACTCTAATGGTTAGTTTAAGCGAAAACAATGACATAAAATATAAATTCAGACGTTCTGAATTTGAATCTTGGTAATTCTTGAAATTAGATTATGAAAAATTTATCTCTCATGAATACTTTAGTTCCAATGTAGATGATCTGTCGGAATGATAAATAACTCCCCATAATGACTTGATAAGAGAATAAAAGACAACTTTAAAAGTTATAAATTCATACGTGTTAAGTTTAAATTTTGATAATTATTTAACATTAAATTAAGATAAATTTATTTTTATGAATACTCTAATTTTGACATAGATAATAAGACTGCCATGTGCGAGACCTGAGCAAGTCAAGCCTATTTAACCTTTATCTTTTCCCTATTTGGTCTTCCAGCGAAGTCGTCGTCGTCCTTTCAAGGATCTGGCATTCATCCATTTCCTCAGATTTTCAACAGGAACATAATCAAGGCCTGAAAATCCTTACAAACAACTTGTTTTTCATAACTTTCAGAGGATACCTAAGGAGGAACTTAGAGAGTCCTGAAATGGGTGGTGAGATTGAAAAATACCTGCTGGAAAAACTCGATGAAGCACTCAACGACCAATCGTCCAATAAACAGAATCTATGGGCCAAAATGTTTCATCTGCACTCTGACTTCAAAGAATTGAAGGACTTGCTTGAGAAAAAAGAAGAGTCCACGCTGACAGCAGATGAACAGAAACGCAGGGAAAAACTCTACCAGCTCAATAATGTATTAACAGAATGGCAGATGATATCAAAGAAGCAGGGTTCATGCAATCCTGAGGCACTACATTCTTATGAACTCGGTAGGAGATTAAAACAGATCAAAGCAGATCTCGAAAAGAAAAATGTCAATGGAGTTTCAGAGAGAGGTACGGAAGTTAATGGACAACCGAGTTTGCCAAAGGTACCTGACCGATGGAGTTCTCGATACGTAGATCCAGAAAAGGTTCACGGGCTAGAGGATGAAGCAATGACCCTGGAGAGATTGCTTGTCCGAGGAGAGAGAAACGATCACTTCAAGGCGATTGGGATTGTTGGGATGGCGGGTATTGGAAAAACAACACTTTGCCAATTTCTTCTCACCCGGCAACTGGTGAAGGATAACTTTCTTCCAAGGATATGGATCTGTATGTCAAAACAATCCGATGACGATCCTGACAACAACAGCAAAGAGATCGTCAGAAGAATGTTAGTTTCTCTTGGAGTTGAAAATGAAATCATCAATTCTGCAGAGAGTCATGGCCTTTCTGGGCTACTCTGTGCTCTTCGAGTACAGTTGAGGGGTAAGAGGTACCTGATTGTCCTCGACGATGCTTGGAACCCCGACACGTTCTTTAAACAGTTGAATCCTAAAACAACTCAGGCTGGTAAATTCGTCGAACACCTTGCGTACGCTTTGCCAAAAGGATATGGCGGAGCAGTCATCGTCACAAGCAGATCGGAGGAAATAGCAAAGAAAATGGTGGGTGAAGAAAACTTGCATCGAATTCCACGTACAGACAAAGAGAGCTGCTGGAAGATATTCAAAGACTCGGTGCAGAAAGATGGAAAAGAGTTCTCCGAAGACCTGGAAAAGCTGAAAGATGAAATTGTGAACAATTGTTTTGGGCTTCCATTAGCTGCCAAAATGATGGGTCAAATTTGGAATGCAAATCCTCAACAGAACTCTAATGGCAGTGATAATCACCAAGAAACGCAACAGCCAACAGCTTAGATAGTGCAGCATCATTTCTCTTTCTTGTTGTTCGAAAATTAATTTTGTTTCATTTTGCTCTGGTCTTGCTTGCAATGTCAGTTTTAGTTCTTGAGCGTTCAATCTTATTTTGGAGTCAAACTGCTCTTGTTTTTCATTTTGTTCGAATCCTTTGCTAATTGACTATGATGAGAGTGAAGAAAAATTCAACAGCATGATTTTGAAATATGTCGTAGAACTATAATCTCAATCTTAGAATTATAAATTCGTCGTACAAATAACGTAGATATTACCCCCAACATTGTATTCGGGTTGATGCTATGGTAGCTCTCTTTGAGATTGTAACGTTTGGAATATGTGATTGTGTAGTGTAATTTGTTTTGAGATTTAGACCCAAAACAAAAGGGAGAAATTATTGTGGCAGAACAAACAACCTGGATGACCGTAGGTGGAAGAAGACCAATCTAGAAATAATAGAAAGCTTCCCTTTAATTTCAAAGAGTTTTATTTTGACTCATTTATTCTTCTGAACTTAAATTAAGTACTTTTTTACTTGGTAAGTTGTAAGAACAGAATTCTAGAAAATTTATGGCAACCCCGAAGACAGAAAATTTCTTTTTTAAGGAAATTATACTTTGACCCTAAAAGTTTCAAAAATTATAATTTGACCCCAAAATTTTAGAAACTTTTTCTAAACAACCCAGGATACTTCCATATCCTATTCCCGCGTATTAGAAATGATGTTTATACGTAAAGGATATATTAAGTATATATCAAAGAGTTGAAAGTACGTAAATTAAATATAGAATCACGAAATGACGAAGTTAAAAATAGGGATTGATCGTTACATGTTATTTTGAATTAGGTGGTGATTGCATTGAGGTTAAGAAATAGTATTTGAAATTGAATTTTTAAAATCAAGGTGAGTAGTTTATTACTTCTTTTAGGAGGATTTTCTATATTAAATTTGTGGGTGCGTGTGTGTGAATTTTTCATATATATGATATATGTTGATGTTTGAGGTTGCAATTAAATGTTTTTGCAATTGTGAATTGTTACACATGAATTTGCAAAACTTATGAGATAATGTTATATTATTGATTAAATGATTTTGGTGATGAAAGAGAAATTTTGTGTGCAAGGGAATTAAAATAATAGTTTTAGTGTGTGTGTTGAAATTATGTTTTATGCGAAGGGAACTAGGTTAACAGGTTTAAATGGTAACGAGATTATATATCGGCGTGATCGGTATAGGAATGTGCACATAGGGGCCAGTTATCAGGCTAGTGATAACAAAAGATGGGGCCAGTTACCAGACTAGTGGTAACAAACATGATTTGACAAATGTATTTGAGACTGAATGTGTGTGTGAGTGTTTTAAGCTATAAATGTCTTTTCTTTTATAAAGTTATTATAATCATGAGATCATTTTGTTTACATGGTTATGTGAAAGAGATTGAGGTACAATTTATTGTATTTATGTACATAACAAAATTTTATTTCTGTGTATATGAAATGTGAGATTTATTTTCAAACCTCATTAGAGGTGGTTGCTACTCACGGGCCTTTGTGCTTACCCAAATATTTAATATTTTTCAGGTGAGGATCAGGAGAAGGAGTAAGTCCTCAGATAGACAAGGGATTAGAAGAATCGAAAATTTATTTTATTGTAGGTCTTTAGGAAAAAAATATTTTTTTTTATAATTTTGAAACAAGTATTCGATTGTTGTGAGAACAATGCTGTTTTTGCTTAGAGTAATGAACCTTATGGATTAATTATTGTTTTACATGAGTTTATTAATAATGTCAGTGATGTTAGTTTATTTCTCTGGTATTCATTAGGTCGGTAAAAAGAATCATTTTATTATTTGTCTTCTGCTGTATTTTGCATTAATTATACACAGGGATGATTGTTTAAGGTCTTGATGGTAGGTCCGCTGCTCACCCGATGTGATCCGGGGTGGGGGTGTGACAAGAGTGATATCAGAGCTTAGGTTTATGAATTACCAGAGGATTAGGCTGGATCCGAGTGGTTGTGTAGGCTTCAATCAGTTTTAGTTCGAGGGATACAGAATGATATTAATAGTTAATAGAATGATTTGTGTAATGACTAAGACTAGATAATTTGCTTGATATTTTGTACAAACAAGAGATAGTTGAAAAAAAAAAAAAAGAGATAGTAAGAGTGTTGTAAGAAATGTGACTGACACTAATGGAATTTTAGGGTGTATACATTCTTCTGTGTCTCATAGAGTAAGAGTGTGATTGGGTGTGGAACCCAAAACACTTGAGTTTGATTTTGATGGTGATAACTCCTGTGGGTGGTTGTGAGTTAGGTTATATCATATACCCAGGGTGTAAGGTTCATATTGAAGAACAACAATTACTAGTTTATGGAGTATTTTTAGACCTTAGGGATTTTGTTATGATATTAATTATGGACTGATTAGTCATACAACATATGAAAATCGGTTATTTTAAAAAGAGAGTCATGCATATTTAGTTTTGAGGGAACATGATTTATTTAATCCCTAATATTAACTCTGTGAGTGCAAGCTCAAAAATGGGGTGAGAAAAGATTTTCAGAGAAATATTGCTAGTATCATTGTTGCACGGAATGAGGGAGTGTCTCTTGAGGAGATATCAATAGAAGGAAAATTTTCAAATATATTTTGAAAGAAGTTGTTTATGCCACCATTGGAGAAAGATAAGGTTTACATTTTTGTAGCTTCGAGTACTTTACTTATAATTATTACTCCATATCGAATGGTTTTTGCTGAACTAGAGGCATTGGAAATTCGATTGAAAATATAATAGACTGAAGATTTATTTGACTTAGTAATTTGTTGTGGGGTGCTCATTTTGTGAAAATGATTGGAATGTAAAATGGTGCATAGGTTACTACTAGCTGAATAAGGCAGCAACATGAAGTAAATATCTTTTATATAGTATTGATGATTTATTTAATCTGTTTTGAGGCGCTAGATAATTTAGTGAGATCGATATTAAGCTGAGTTATCTTTCCTTAAAAGAAATAAATAATGATGTTTTGAAAACAATATGTGCAACGGGAATAATTACATTGTATTTTTGGTAAAGTCATTATGATTGACAAATGCTATATTTGTTTTGATGGATTGACTAAATTGAGTATCTCAACTTTTTCTAGATTCATATATTACTATATTCATTGGTGTTACATCTGTGTATTCTTGCAATAAAGAATTAATTACCCTACTCATGATTTGGGTTAGATGTAATTGTTTTTGCTTTGAAGTTATGAAGAAAGACATGTATTTCGATTATCAAAGGTTGAAAGATTTATTTACTGAGAATGAGTTTAATTTGAGAAAAATGAGATAGATGGAAAGATTAGGGACTGTGATTATTCTATTATTATCATTTAGGCAAAGCTATTATAATAGTCGATACGCGGAGTAAGAAATCATTAAGCAGTTTTGTTGTATTCAATGTACCCAAATGAGTAATTTGGTTGATTTGAGATTGATAGAGGCATGTGTGATATTTACTGGTACAGATATATTATTAGCTTAATTGTAAGTTAAACTCTTATTGGTAGATCGTATCATTTAGTTAAAAAAAAAAAAAAAGAGACACATGTGCAGAGTATTTGAAAAGAGGTGTAACATGATGATAGCAGGATATAATTTATAACTTGTGGTGAGATTATGTTTAAATTTTGATATGAGTTATGGGTATCAAAAGAGGATACGGTGAAGAGAGACATTATAGATATAACCTATAATTCTATGTTTATCCAAGAATTTCGAAATTATGTTAATATTGAGAATTTATTATTGGTTGGGTGGAATGAGAAAAGAGATTTTGGAATTTGTAGCCAAGGAGTAGTACACTGATAAAAAAAGACTGAATATTAATGTCTGACAAGTTTATGATAACTTTTTTTCAATTTTTGAATGGAAATGGGAGTATATTATTATGAATTTTCTATAATGACTTTCAGGATATAGATTGAGCATGAATCTATTTTGGGTTGTTGTGGATTAATTGACGAAGTTATTTGGTAAAGATGTTTCATTTTCATGACATACTTTGAGTTGTTATGATCTGGAAGTATGTATATTTGATTCTCCTTATATATTGGTGGGAGCAATATATTGAGCTTAGGAAAACTCTTAATTATGTTGAGGAGTCAAGTAATTTTGGATAACAAGATGATCCTATTAGTCAAAGTGTTGTAGAAGAGTTACTCAGACGAGGAAATTAATTGTGAAGTGGATAAAAAGATGGAAATTTAATATCCTCATTTATTCTCACAAGGTATATAAATTTCGAGGATGAAATTCTCTTAAGGAGGCTGTCCTATGAACAAAGAAGAAAAAAATAATGTGAAAGAGGGAAAAAGAGAGAAAAGAAAGGAGGAAGAAGATAAGTGGATTAAGTCCTTTAAAGGTGAGTTTATTATTTATTTTATGGGTTTTATAGTTTATTCAATCACATGATATTAGGTTAATGATAATGATATTGCGTAATATGTATATATACACATATACAGAATGAGTTTCATGGTAATCGTTTATTATTATTGAAATTTATTAGATTAAATTTAGACTTATAGTTGACTAATAAATAAGTTGAAAAAGAAAAGAAAAGAAAAGGGTTTGAAATTGTTGTGGCAGAACAAACAACCTGGATGACCGTAGGTGGAAGAAGACCAATCTAGAAATTATAGAAAGCTTCCTTTTAATTTCAAAGAGTTTTATTTTGACTCATTTATTCTTCCGAACTTAATTTTAAGTACTTTTTTTACTTGGTAAGTTGTAAGAACAGAATTCTAGAAAATTTATGACAGCCCCGAAGACAGAAAATTTGTTTTTAAGAAAATTATACTTTGACACCAAAAGTTTCAAAAATTATAATTTGACCGCAAAATTTTAGAAATTTTTTCTAAACAACCCAGAATACTTCTATATCCTATTCCCTCGTATTAGAAAGGATGTTTATATGTAAAGGATATATTAAGTATATATCAAAAAGTTGAAAGTACGTAAATTAAATATAGAATCACGAAATGACGAAGTTAAAAATAGGGATTAATCGTTACATGTTATTTTGAATTAGGTGGTGATTGTATTGAGGTTGAGAAAGAGTGTTTGAAATTAAATTTTGAAAATCAAGGTGAGTAGTTTATTACTTCTTTTGAGAGGATTTTCTATATTAAACTTGTTGGTGCATGTGTGTGAATTTTTCATATATATGATATATGTTGATGTTTGGGGTTGCAATTAAATATTTTTGCAATTGTGAATTGTTACACATATAAATTTGCAAAACTTATGAGATAATTTTATATTATTGTTTAAATGGTTTTGGTGATGAAAGAGAAATTTTGTGTGCAAGGGAATTAAAACAGTAGTTTTAGTGTGTGTGTTGAAATCATGTTTTATGAGAAGGGGACAGGGTTACCAGGTTTAAATGGTAATGAGATTGTATACCGGCGTGGTCGGTATATGGATGTGCACATAGGGGCCAGTTATCAGACTAGTAATAACAAAAGACGGGGCCAGTCATCAAGCTAGTGATGACAAGAGATGGGGTCAGTTACCAGTCTAGTGGTAACAAACATGATTTGATAAGTGTATTTGAGACTGAATGTGTGTGTGAGTGTTTTGAGCTATAAATGTCTTTTCTTTTATAAAGTTATTATGATCATGAGATCATTTTGTTTACATGGTTATGTGAAAGGGATTGTGGTACAATTTATTGTATTTATATACATAACAAAGTTTATTTTTGTGTATATGAATTGTGGGATTTATTTTCAAACCTCATTAGAGGTGGTTGCTACTGACGGGCTTTTGTGCTCACCAAAATATTTAACATTTTTTATATGAGGATCAGGAGGAGGAATAAGTTCTCAGATAGACAAGGGATTAGAAGAATCGAAAATTTATTTTATTGTAGATCTTTAGGAATAATTTTTTTTTTTTTATATTTTTGAGACAAGTATTCGATTGTTTTGAGAACAATTTTATTTTTGCTTAGAGTGGTGAACTTTATGGATTAATTATTGTTTTACATGAGTTTAGAAATAATGTTAGTTTATTTATCTAATATTCATTAGGTCGGTGAAAATGATCACTTTATTATTTGTCTTTCGCTATATTTTGCATTAATTATGCACAGGGATGGTTGGTTAAGGCCTTGGTGGCCAGTCCGCTGCTCACCCTATGTGATCCGGGGTGGGGGTGTGACACATTGGTGTGAAGCTATGGCCTATGAAATTCGTGCCCTTGAAGAAAATTTCACTTGGACACTTGAAACCCTTCCTCCTAGCAAGAAACCTATCGGATGTAAGTGGGTATTCAAAACCAAACTCCGAGCAGATGGCACTATTGAGCGCTACAAGGCCCGAATTGTAGCCAAAGGCTACACTCAAGTGGAAGGCATTGACTATCATGAAACTTTTGCCCCAATTGCCAAGATGACCACAGTACGCTGTGTTCTTGCTGTTGCTACCACAAAAAATTGGGTCATCCTCCAAATGGACGTCCATAATGCTTTCCTGCATGGTACACTTAATGAGGAAGTTTACATGACCCCACCACTCGGCTACTATGTTAAGGGGGAGACACGAGTCTGTCGCCTTCAAAAATCGCTCTATGGCCTCAAACAAGCTTCTCGGAACTGGTTTTTTAAACTAACCTCTATTCTTCTTAATGCAGGTTTTGTTCAGTCATAAGCAGATCACTCCCTATTTACCTTGATCACTGCAACTAGTCTTACTATTATTCTTGTTTACGTTGACGATATTTTGGTTGTTGGCAATGGCCTTTCTCAGGTCACCTTCTTTAAGAGCGTTCTTTCCAGCAACTTCAAAACCAAGAATCTCGGACCTCTTAAATATTTTCTTGAACTTGAAGTTGCACGCTCTCCCTCTGGCATTTTTCTTAATCAACGAAAATATGCCCTAGACATCCTTGCTGATAGTGGTAAACTTGGTTCTCGTCCCGCCTTTTCCTATGGAACAGAATCTGAAGCTCAATGACACAGATGGTGACCTTCTTCCTGATCCCGCTCCTTACCGTCGATTAGTGGGACGCCTCATTTACCTCACCATCACTAGACCTGATATCATCTTTGCAGTGAATATCCTCAGCCAATTTATGCATGCACCTTGGATCTCTCACATGACAACTGCAACACGTGTCCTTTGCTACATCAAAGGGACTCCTGGACAAGGCATTTTTTTCTCTTCCTCTAATAATCTTCATGTCACTGCTTACACAGATTCTGATTGGGCCAGTTATCCTACCACTAGGCGCTCTACCACTAGCTTCTTCATCACACTTGGTTTCAGTCCTATTTCTTGTCGCATTAAGAAACAGACTACGGTGGCCCGCTCCTCTACAGAAGCTGAATATCGCGTTATGGCCGTCACAACATGTGAATTCATTTGGTTAAAATAGCTTCTCCATGACATTGGCATCTCACACAAAGACCCAATGACCCTCTACTGCGAGAATCAGTCCGCCCTCTACATTACTCAGAATACAATTTTCCATGAACGAACAAAGCATATTGAGATAGACTACCACATCATCCGTGAAAAACTTCGTTCTGGTCTCTTCATCACTGCTCATCTTCCATCTTCTGAACAGATTGCTGACATCTTCACCAAAGCATTGGGATCTGACCTCTTTCATCACGTATCTTGCAAGTTGAGCATTACGAATCTTCATGCACCAACTTGAGGGGGAGTATTACAGTATATTGAAATCCCATGATTTTAGCAATCCCACAATTTTAGCTAATCATTTGTTATAGGATATTTGACATTCATTTGTATAGATTTCTTTTATTTTATTTCCATGTAAATCATAGCTGTGTATAGCTATATAAAGCATACTGATCAATGAGAAAAGTGATAACTGTTTTCTACCAATTTACTTCTTTACACAACTTGTAGATGTTGACATTACGTTTCAAAATTGTGGGACAAATCAATTGTCACATTGCTATGGTTTGCAAATAGTTTATTCCCCTAATTATGCCATGCCATGTCAAAGTAGAAGTTTCAAAACATGTGCTGCCAGGATATGCAAAGGAACCCGTCTTTAGTATATTTTGGCCAGCTAAGGTGAGATACCTAACAAGAAGAAGAAAGTATTTAACTTGAATAGATAAATTAATTAAAAACACCCATTTGGAAGAACTTTAAAGAGAAGACTTTTTGAAGCTTCCATTTCATTGGAAGTTGAGTTACATCTATGGAGTTTACTACCACTAGTTCTACTCCTACCTACCACACTCTTGGAAGTACTTGAAAATAAAGCCTGTTACCTTACTTAGCTTGTGCTTTGGCCTTTCTATTATGGGCCACTTTAAAATTTATTCATCAATTAGAGGTCCCATAATAAGATCAGATAATGCAAAAATTCTCATACAATTTTGTATACCACAATTCTGGATGGATGGATGAATAGACAGACGTTTATGGTAAACAGAAAATAACTATGCTAAGACCGGGGGTAATCCAACATTTATGAATCCACATTCCCTCGAGAGGACTTTTCCAGAATTTACCCCAATGTAGATCACCCACTGTGTATTGATACCGAAACATGTACTGTATCCACTTAAAGCCATGGTGGGTTATCTGTCAATAGTCATTTATGACTAACAGAAACAGTACATGGACTGCTTCAAGTTTCTTGAAAAGAAACTAGGTCTGCGATAAGTCATGGAGAAAGTGACATTACTGAGGTTTACGGTTCTTAATACCTCTGATGCATGTTGGAACGGTCGCTTTCAAATTAAGCATGGTTTTCATACACTCCTGAAAAATCTAATGTTCCACCTTTCTAGAATAATCTAATGTTCCTCAACCAAAATATAGATTGCTGTAAGGAATGTGAAGTAGAAACAACTGTGAAGTGAGTTCTTAGACAGGGCATCAATGTGCTGGCATTGGACAAAGTTAATTCTATAATGGGAAAAGTCCCAACAGTTTATAGCAAGTTGTTCCACAAGGGTGAATTATAAACTTCTGTTGAATTCAAATAAACTAGGTGAATTAAGCATTCAGGCCGTGATGAGGAATAGCCAAATGGTAAATACGTCCGGTTATGAGGCTACAATGTTCATCTGCAAGTTATGCAGAGTAACTTCTTTGTCGGTGATCAAGAAGCACATTGAATCCACAAATTCTTGTTACCAGTAACAACATGTCAAGCTCCATGTTTCTTCTATTAGCACGTATCTACATAAAGTAATAATGCTTTAAGGGATGATTTTTTTCGATGCAGCAATCTCGAAAAGATTCTTAGGTGGGTTTGATGCAAACTGAAACACGTCTAACACTACTAGATAGGAAGAAATAAATAGATTGTGGATCCAGTAATGATTGCGGCAATGAGCATACAAGAAACACAAAACAAAATAACTATCAAAAAAAATATAAAAATACAAGAAACAGAATTCATCCATCCAGAACATTGGACAGAAAATTGACAATTTAACGGGAAAAAGATGGTGCTAATTAGCAATGCTATCTCTTACAACTGCTTTACCTTCTACCTTCTGCTTTATCTTCATCTTGTTCATCCACACTCCACTCGCATTGCATGGAAAGAAACTGAGTTTAGGGCATTCTTCTTTCTCCAAGTAAAACAAGTTGGGAAATAACTCCTGCAGTTCTCTCCAGTCCACCTCCAATTCAGTCAAGTACTTCAGACGCAATTGCTCTACTGCCCACTTGTCCTTCCTGGCAAGGTCCTGAAACTGACCAAGATCGAAGAATTTTCCTCCTCTGATGTAGAGTTTCTCCAGGCCCTGCAGATTGGCAGGCTTTAGCCAATCTGCTGTTGTTCTCTTAGGAAAACACTTAAGGTCCAGTTTCTTCAGTCTTGAAGGAAGTGTCGGACTTGTTGAAGATGTCGGAATTGTTGGATGCTTCATGGTATATATTTTGCTCAGTGCTCTTTCTACTCGTGGTTTCTTGGCAGTGGCTATCAATCCATTGTCTTTCTTTTTATCTCCTCCACTAGCAACCAATCCATTGTCTTTCTTATTATCTCCTCCAGTGGCCACCAATCCACTGCCTTTCTTTTTCTCTCCTCCAGTGGCTATCAGTTCACTGTCTTTCTTTTTATCTCCTCCATCATTTGTTTTCTGCACGAGAGGCTTGCTGTCTGGTTTACGTTGCGAAGCACCCCCTCCCCATTCAATTGTTAGCTTCAGAAGTGCCGGAAATTTTCCAAGAGCATTCACATGTTCAACTTCAGGGAAGATCTTCATACATGTGTAAATGCTCAATTTTGTGAGCCCTGGTAGTTTTGCCAAATCGTCAAGAGTGCACGATGAGTCCTTTCGCTTTTTATCTCCAACTACAAACCCCTTAAGGACTTGGAGTTTGGTGAGCTTTGCAAGCTTCCTGGGCATATGTTCGAGCAGGTAACACTCGGACATGTCCAAGTGTGTCAAGCTCTCTAGCGACCCAATTCCTTCTGGAATTACTTCAAGATCATGACAGGCTCTGAGATCAAGAATCATTAAATACGTGAGCTGCGAAATGCATTCGGGGAGCTCAGTGATTCCAGAGATTCCTTGAAGGCTGAAAAATCTCAGATGTTTCATTTTCTTCAAGCCTTCCAAAAAGTTGGGTTTCTCAACTTCAACGTGCTGAGTAGCCGAGGCCTTCCACCTTCCCAGATGGAAAACATTGACATCTCTCATCCTCAATAACCACGTTGGCTCAAATTCAAGAATAGTCTCTCTAACATTAAACAGCATATGAAGTTTCTCAAAATTTTCAGTATTTTCAAAACCCGTCCCCAACAAGCACGCCCGGTAGGAACTCCCGAATGTCACCATTGGATAGCCTTTCGGATCAAAATCAAAAAACTTTGCCCTCTCTGCAAGCGTAACTACTGCATTACGCATAAAAGGGTGCATTCTGCAACTGCCCGCAACGAGACTCCACCTCTCATTGACCGGCTCGATAAAGCCTAATTCCATAAGCTTGTCGAAGAAGTCGTTGCCATGTTCCTCCGCGGTTTTTTTTGGGTTCTCGATGCCCTCATTGATTGGTGGTACAAAACCTTCTCCAATCCACCAATAGACCATGAGCCTCTTCTTTATGATAGCATCTTCAGGGAACACCGCGAAACACGACAAACAAAGTTTCAGTTCAATCCTAAGCCCACTGAAACGTGCCATGAAATCTTGAAACTCCCAGCTGTTCTCAAAGGTATTTGCATTGTATAATTTAGGCATTTTCTTGAGCACTTCTGGGGGAATTTCTTCCTTGCTTCCTATAGCACCATCGGGTTGTCGATTCCCATGGGGGTCTTTTTCTTTTGCATCAATCTTGTAATTTGGAGGGACCTTAAGCTTCAATTTGGTCACGGTCTTCTTTAGTTTGCGAAGTTCTTGCACCTTTTGATCCTTTTTGAGCTTAACCAATTTCTCGGATGCATCTTTGACTTGTTTATCCACATGTTTTTTCTGCTCGTCGAGCTTCTTCGAGGCCTTCTCCATGTAACCTAAATCAGCACTTATCAAGTTGGAAAGAGAGTCTGTTTCATCATTGGGGTTTTTTTTTTTGGGTTGCTTGACAACTGGCTGGGGTTTGCGCTTGGAAGTGAAGCGATCTCGTAAAGCCCTAACTGAGAACTTTTTTATCTTTGCTTTAATGGAGAAAGCCGGTTTTTTCGCAGGTTTCCCATCAGTGTTTTGGTTCTGGGTCGTCTGGACTTGTTTGGGAGAATGGGAGGAATAGGATTTGTTTGGGGCGTTTTCTTCAATAATTTCCGTATTGCAAATGTTGACAGAGGTTGGCGGCGGTGAAGACGTCTCGGTGGACAGAAGCTCAGACTCAGAGGATGGAGATGGTGGAGGGGTGTCCACAGACACAGAGAGTGGTGGTGGAAGGGTGTCCACAGACTCAGAGGGTGGTGGTGGTGGTGGAGAGGTCTCTACAGACTCAGAGGATGGTGGTGGTGGAGCGGTGTCCACAGACACAGAGAGTGGTGGTGGAAGGGTGTCCACAGACTCAGAGGGTGGCGGTGGTGGTGGTGGAGAGGTCTCTACAGATTCAGAGGATGGTGGTGGTGGTGGTGGTGGAGAGGTCTCTACAGACTCAGAGGATGGTGGTGGTGGAGCGGTGTCCACAGACACAGAGAGTGGTGGTGGAAGGGTGTCCACAGACTCAGAGGGTGGCGGTGGTGGTGGTGGAGAGGTCTCTACAGATTCAGAGGATGGTGGTGGTGGTGGTGGTGGAGAGGTCTCTACAGACTCAGAGGATGGTGGTGGTGGAGCGGTGTCCACAGACACAGAGAGTGGTGGTGGAAGGGTGTCCACAGACTCAGAGGGTGGCGGTGGTGGTGGTGGAGAGGTCTCTACAGATTCAGAGGATGGTGGTGGTGGTGGTGGTGGTGGAGGCGTCTCCATGGACATGGTGTTGTTTGGGGTGTTTTCTTCGATAACCCCGTTGGTAGGGATGTTTGAGGTTTTATCAACAGTATCTTGATTCTGGATCGTTGGGTATTGGGTAGAATTATGGAGGGCATCGGATTCGTCACCGTTGCTTTCTTCGATATTTGTGTCGAGCAGTGCGAGATCGTAGGATGAAGGAGGCTCAGATGACGACGACAGTGGTGATGGTGGTGGTGGTGGCTCGGTGGACAATGGTGGTGATGGAGGGGTCTCGACGGACATGGTTAATGCTTTAAAGAAACGAAGAGAGAGAGAGAGTTCTTTTGGATCTACCAGAAGCAGTGAGAGGCTGGAGGACAGTACCTGTATTTATCAGTGGGAGAGACAAAGACCAACCCATCGAAGTCAACTCTCTGGCATTTAGCTTCAAACTCCTAATTCCACATTTAGCCTGCCTCACTCCATTCCATTTTTATTCCTTGAGTAATATTTCTTAAACTTAATTTCTTCATCTAATTTTTTAATTAAATCAATTTATTAGATATTTACACATCTCAGCCCATTAAGTTTTGGATAAGGCCACCTTTAATTTTAATTAAATAATTTATAATCATTAATAAAATAATAATAATATACATATTTTCAAAAAAATTATTTTAGTACCAAAACCAAAAATTACCAAACTCTTATGACTCATTTAGTAACGTTTTTGTTTTTGTATTGTCAAAACACAAAAAAATATAGAAAATTTTTGTTTTATTTTGCGTCAAACACCAAAAACAAAAACTTGTTTGAGAGTATTTTATATTTACGAAATTATGAAATTAAAAATAACAAATATTATTTGATAATTTTTTCAAATTATGTTTGGTAACCCAAACCCACACACAGACCACATTCGTTTCCCTCCCACTATTCTCTGTTACTTTGTCTTCTCTATAACACAATAAACACACCCTCAACCAAATCACACCCCACCCACCTAGAATTCACACACCCCCCCACGCAAAAAAAAGAAATCACACACGCATACGAAGAAATCACAAAAATCACACATAGACACAAAAATTTGACAACGATAGAGGCAGCGATGAAGAGAAAGGGGCTGCAATCGAGTGGGATGAAGAGAGAAGGGCAGTGATGGAGGCAACGATGGAGGTGGAGGCAGAGGCGGAGGCGGAGACGAAGATAGAGACAGAGACAACGATAAATCGTCTGCTCGAATACAAAAAAATAATAAAAGAAGAGAGAGATAAGCGATGGGGAGGAGAGAGATGATGAAATGATTTTTTATATTTCGACAAAAAAAAATAGTTTTGTTTTGTTGCTAAGAGGACTCAAATCTCAAATCTCATTAATTCTTCACCCCTTACGCGTACTGTCTCTGTTTCCAGTGTTTCTTGGAATATCTTTTTTTTGTTCTCATTTTTTGGCTTGTTTTTAAGACAATTGAGGTGAAATAAAAACAAAGACGATTACCAAACATGTGTTTTTTTTTGGCAAAAATTAAGAATAAAGACCAAAAACAAGAAACAAAAACAACAAACCCTTACCAAACGACCCCTAAATCCTCAAGTTTTTTATGGTTTCCAAACAAACCCTAAACCCTTAAGTTTTTGATGGTTTTGTCTTTCTTTTTACGTGAGCTTGACCCCAATAATATTGGATCTGGAGTTAACTATTTATGTGGACCATAAATTATAGTATTTGTGTTAATCAAGCCCTGTATTAATATAACTCATGAATTATAACATTTGTGTCAATATGACCCTTCTATCCAAATTTATCATTAAATTTGACTAAATTTTTCACGTGTACAATATGTTACGTGATACACACGTAAAAAATTCTATCAAAATTATCTATGAATTTGGACGGAAGGGCCACATTGACACATATAATATAGTTTAAAAATTATATTGACACAAAGTATAATTCAGGGACTTGATTGAAATAAATTATATGATTAGGCCAGGTAAATAAGCATGAAAAAAACTATAATTTGTCTCTATATTCCTTATTTTTCCAGCAAATAACAATTTATAAATACGCAAGACTTTGATAAATATCATAAACAGAGTTCACACTTCAGCTTTAATGTCTCGAATGCTATTTTTTAAGGAAAGAACTTCCTATAAATATATATATTTGTTTTGGATTAAGGAGGTGTCTTATTAGATGAAGAAAAATATGATTGGTTCCCTCAGGTATTGCCTTCCCCATATGACTTAAAGTGAAAATATTTGTTAATTTGTGCCCACTTGGTCCTTTTGGTCATCAAGTTGGGTTTCATAAAATATATGTGTGTGTGTGTGTGTGTGTGAGAGAGAGAGAGAGAGACATTTGAATACATCCCCCCAGGATGCATGAATTACATAGTTTCTTTCTGTTCATATTGTATATTTCACTAACAAGTTGTTGGTTCACTGGGAAAGAAGTTGGATTTTCTCGCTGTTTGGATTCGAGTTTTTATAGTTATCACAGTTCTTTAGAGTTAAATTTGATGTTCAACGTCCAGAGCACGGAGTAGAACTTTAGTTTCATCCTGCCATAGGTGCAGTGGGGTTTCCTACAGATAGTTGTGTGGTGCTGATAGACAATACTCCCTGTCGGATATGTAGAGTGGTCTATCTGCATATCTATATTTCTATACCCAAAAAAAAGTTGTATATTTCTATTTTTTTTGTTAGTAAATGGCAACAAATCATTTTATATATTTAAATAGCAGGCATCCCAAAGTATATATTTGAGTGTTTCATATATATATTTTGATAGATATTTTATATTTAATTTTCACTATATATCCCACCATCATCAACGATATATAAACTTGATGAGATCGACAAGATATTCATTGTTTTATCGGGGTTTGAGGCCACTCATAAATAATAGCAAGAATTAAAAAAAAAAGAAAGTGCATAATGCAGTATTTTTTTTGATATTTTCCTTAAGGCATCAAGAAATATATTGTGACTTGTAGGACCAAGGTATAGAAATTTTCCACCGAAGCTGACATACTAGCTACCTGGATTTTCCAATCAATGCAGCCTTCCAAGATTGGAACTTGATGAATTTCCATTAGAGTTGTTGAAAGAAATACCAAGATATCCAATTTTCGGATGTTGGAGTGCAAAGACATTAAAGAATTGTCACGTGCCAGAATTTGAAAAAGAGGTGAAAGATAATTAGTCATGACTTTGTTTGAAAAAGGAGAGTAATTGCTTAAAAGTTACAAGCCAATTAACTATCGATAGATAGAGAAATTGTCAAATGGAGTGGTTATAAAAGGCGGACAAGAAAGAAGCAAAAATACAATTCAATCCTCTATAAGACCCACGATCAGCGCATATCAAAAGATTTGTACTTGGGGGATATCTATGCAGCCAGTGATTGAACCGGATTATGTCCAGTTCATAACCTGTATCACCTTGTTTGTTTGGTAAATTGAAACAATATTAAAAAGAGCAAAGCCAAAAGAATATACACTGGGAAGCATCTCTACGGCAAACGATAGATAATATGATTCGATCAAATGGTTCAAGACAGACTACAACAAAAGGACATCACCAATACATTAGTACAACATACTATTGTTTCGGCTACTTCTCCACAATTAGTTTAGCCCTTGCATTGCCTTCATTTATTTGGAACTGATCACCCAAGCCAAGATGAGCCATCAATAACCACACCACACTGATAAGCTGTCCACCACTACTCAGTTGTGCAGCATGCGCATTTGCTCTGCAATGACAGGCAGCATAGGACAGCAATTCCACCCAAACTTTGCTCATTATTTCCCATTTGTCGGGTTCACCATCTTTCCCTTCTAACTCCTTCAATTTTTGGCCAGCAGGCACGCGTCGAACAACACAGATTTGCTTCTATCCCCCTTGACAGTAACAGGTTTTACTTCTGTATTAACAGCAAGGATATTTCTGCAGGCCTCTTTCTGTTGTTCAACCCAATCTAATTTCTCTTTTCCAAAGAATTTCATGACTCGGAGATAACACGGGTAGGCTTCAAGCAGTACCTGTCCCTGTTCTGCTTTTGCTCCACCAAAGGGTTTCTTAACAGCATTGAAAATTAGAATGGGAGGAAGAATGAAAAATAGAAGAAGATATTTGAAAAAACTTAAAATTACGTAAATGATAACTTCACAGATATTTGCCTCATCCTGTCTCCCTCTGAAATTTCCTGTTCCAAAGAACTTCTTGGCCTCAGCACAGGTATCTTGGAATCGTATTTGCCCAATACCTGCCACTGCAGACATCATTGTAGGCTGCATAACTACAAGATACAGCATGTAGTCTGAGAGGAGCTTGGAAATTTTACGAAAATCCTTCTTTTGTTCCTCGTTTCCATCCACGTTTCGATCCTTGTTTGGATCCTTGTATGGATCTTTGTTTGGATCGTGGACATCATCAGTATTATAGCAGAGTTCAGTGGCGATGTGCCACAGAAGAAGGCTCTCATCATAGTCAACGTCAAGGATCCAAGGGAGGAAGCGGTTGCAATTTTTGACCCGATTTTCGACTCGAAGAATCCAATCACCTCTGGATGAACATATCTCCTTGGCCGTTTCTAAATCATCTGCTATCTCAGATTTTGCTAACAGCTCATCAAATATGTGGTCTCTTAATTCATCATTGAATGGCTTGCTTCCCACATACTTCAACCCATCAAGAAAGTTTCTAAGGCCCAAATAGCCAACCAATTTGTCTTTCACTAACCGGCGTGGATGCAAACAAAAATATATCAAGTTGTAAGTTGAAATAGATTCAGACCACCTGCGCCTCATGAGTCGCATAAGCCTATTAAAGCAACTGACATGAGACTTTGTTGGCTCTTCTTCAGTATAAGTGTCCTCAGGCATATTCTCAACCTTATTTTCAGGTAATTTATGAAGTGCAACAACAGTCCTATCGGAAAAAAGAAACATGGCGAGAGCAATTACATCCAAGGCAATGGCACCAAGTAGCAGGGTGTAAGTAATCCCAACATCAAACCCCTTGAAATTGTCCTTTTTTTTGGAATGGAAGAGCACAAGAGCTACAACAACTGAAGTGATGGAAATAAACCGGAATATGTATCCTAATCCACTATGCACCACACTGACCTTGGTATAGAGGACTTCATAAATGAAATTGAGTTCAA